TTTTTTCTTCTTCTTCCTCGCTAATAAGTTTCGCCCATGGCCTTGAATAATTGCATTCCTTATGTATGAATTTTTTCTCGAGAATAGTCGTACCCCGCATCACTTGTGGTAGTGCTGTCACATTTAACACGCACACCGGCTTAAGGTAGGCCCACCTTTTATTAAACCGATCGATTCAGAATCATAATCTGAACTTATTTAAGCCTGTCTGTCCATGTAAATATGTGTTCAATCTACATATCGCAAATTTTTAAGATATTTCGATGGATTTTCACAAAAATTGATCCTTTGTGGAGCAGAAAAGTCGAAGTCTTAATATGTGACGGTGAATATTCACCCTTAATAGTAATTTCATACAAAAATAAGAATTGCATTGGATAAGGTGGTCTAGGGTATTTAATAGTCGGTCTTACTCGCCCATAATGTTCTTACTTCTTTTGCCGAATTTTGTGTAATAATTTTTTGCATTATTTGGATTGTGATTTTTTTTTTTTTTCTGACTATAGGCAATCTTGTCTTCTTCATAGTGTTGCTCTCTAGCATCATATCGAGCCGATAGCCTATGTTGCTAGTGCTCAATGTCTCTTTTTTTAGTCTAAGAATTCAATTCATTAGTCTAAAATTAAAATAATAATAATAATAATAATAACATCATATCCTAACAGTTTTTTTTTTTTCCTTTTCTTCTTCATATGCATTGTCTTAATGTCATGATATTTCCTTTATTACCGATTCTTGTCGGTTTAATTTCTATATATAAGAGTAATGAAACCAATCAGATTACTTCCAAATGACTATTTTATAATAATTAATTTCAATCTAAAGGTAAACACTTGCGAATATATTGACAATACTGTAATTAGGTAAAACGGATTCGCAATGTTTTGTTCTATAAATTGTTTTTTAGATAACAAAAATCATAACAAATTCATTATATCTCTAGTTATGATTATTTTCATTTTCGGACATGCCCCACTTTCAAAAATGAACGGTTTATAAGCCATTTACTTTAAGACC